GGTAAAATTAAATAAACATGGACAACACTGATAATGGGCGAACACGAAAATAATACGGCCGTGCAGATCTGTATATTTGGAACGTATTTTAACCGAAGTGAAAAATTCTTCAGCACGACGCTACTCCACACGACAGTGTGGCCAGACTTGCATGGGCAAAAATTGCTAAATTGAAAGAAAAATATGCTAGAAATAGCCAGAATTGGATGCGACAAAATAGCTAAATTGGAAAAATATGCTAGAAATAGCCAGAATTGAATGCGCCAAATTAGCTAAATTGGAAAAAGTATGCTAGAAATAGCCAGAATTGAATGCGCTAAAATAGCTCCATTGTAAGAAAAATGCTAGAAATAGCCAAAATTGAATAGGCTAAAACAGCTAATTGAAAGAAAAATATGCTAGAAATAGCCAGAATTGAACAGAAATAGATAAAATAGCTAAATTGGAAGAAAATATATGCTAGAAATAGCTTTAAAAAACTGCTCAAAAAAATTGCTGTTTTAATTAAAGTAAAACAGAAATATTATCAATATCGAATGGTGTCATCGACAGAGTACTTTATTTGAAGGGACAAAATTCTTCAACACGACGCTACGCGCATCACGACAGTGTGGCCAGACTTGCATGGGCAAAAATTGCTAAATTGAAAGAAAATATATGCTAGAAATAGAATCGATGTTATCGATGTTTGACAGTTATCGCCCTAAAAAATACAGTGCCACACCTGATACGCAAACCACAGCTGATATACGATGTATCTTAATAAGGTTGGCCACTTTGATGGAAAATATGCTTAAATTTGTTGAAATAATAAAATAATTTCATCTGAGCGAGAGGAAAAGTATAAATATTTTAAACTGAGTTTTTTGTTGGTAATTCATTCAATAGTTTTATAAAATATATATTCATAGAATAAAGTGAATTTCATTATTAGTCACTGTTAAATATTTTTGGTTAAAATATTTGGCGTTGAACCATATATGTACGAGTATTTCTAACTTAACGGAATTAAGAGGATCGATCGGTCAAATATTGGCAAATTGAACCTTTAGAGATGATACGCAACTTACTTAAAATAATCCGCAACGCTAGACATGGAATTACAAGGGATCTGTTTAAAAAATGCTCTCACCGCTTGGTACAGCAGAATTTACCATTTCCGCGGAGTGCTCTTATTGTTGTACGCGTTGGCCCTGAAAGTAATAAAATGTATGCAGGTTTAACTGAAGAACTAGGGGAAATAATTATATAGTGTGACATACTTAACAACGCCATGGCTCTGAGCTGCTGTCAGAGTAATAAAGGGCGTCAAGCGCTCGATGAACCGATCGTTGTTGCGCTCCAGTTCCCGCTGGTAATCTTTCTGATCTGACAGTATCAGGTAGCGATTCTTCTTCAGGGCATCTGCACAGCGCTTCGAAAACTCTCGGAAGCATAGCCGCAGCTTGTTTTGATGCTTGGTTGGCACGGTGGTGCCGTCGGAGAGATTTGAAAGAAACACGCATGCCATTTCCATTGGGCCTTGATTCACGGTGGTTCCTATGCACCCCTGCAGCACCATTTGCAATATCTTTGGGTCGGCAGGCTCTTGGTTCGTTGCAGCTGCCAACTCCACCGTTTTTTTTTGGATATCCTAATTAAAAAGATTCGAGTTAGAGGTGTTTGAAACGCATGGCCTTGATTTGGCTTACCTCTATTGCCACCTCGATGGGTTCCAAGACTATTTGCTGCCGGCTAATGACCATGATTCTGGTCTTGACGTACGGGAAGTGGTTGGCCGTGGTTAGAATCGTCTTCCGTTTACACTGCTCATGGAGTTCGCCATGGGCCTTTCCGTTTTTCATGAACGGCGTCGCATATATAAAGCGTTCTGGTAAAAAAAAAAACAATTATATGTAGCTAAATTAAGACCATATTAAGAGAAATCTAATGCTTACTGATGTTGAAGTTTCTCTCAAAGTATGTTTCCCGATGACGCATCTCGTACGTTTCAAAGTATGGCTCCACATACGTGATCTGAATGTACGCCTTGTCGGGATCCAGAGAGCTTATATCAACCGCATTCGAGTCCTTGATTATGTGGACTGAGTCCGGTCCAAAGCGTTCAGTGTAGAAGATCTGCGGCATATATTGAACAATAAAATCTGTTTCGTTCAATTAAGGCGTCATTTATTGTTACCTGGAGCCGAAATCTCTAGTAACTTTGTCAAGGTTGGTTCTTTGTAAATAAATTCCTGCTGGTCCAGGTCTCCGAATTTGCCTCCGTAAAAACCCACTCGAAAGTATGTGCCGAACACCCTTTTTCCCTGTTTTAAATATGAGCACAAAAATATATTGCACCAAGAAATGGAAAATAAAAAAATTATCTACCTGTAGCTGGGCTATTCTGTTGAAGGCTTCCTGCAGTTTGCCGTGCACTCCCTTATCTTCACGGTATCGGACAGTATCATATGGAGATTGAACAGCAGGTCCTGCACTTGCTCTGGAAATGACGTGATCTGGAGATCAGAGTCCGACTCGGCGTACACAAGAACTGTTTTCAGTGCGCGCCGCAGAGACTGTTCGCTGAACACCGTGCTCGTACCAACAAGCGAACTCAACGACATTGCCACTTGCATTTTGACGCGGGCGAAATTCTGAAAGAAACACGCAAAAAAGTCACTTTGAATTGAATTTGAATTTTTGCAAACTTATACATACATTGCCGATCTCGAAGTTCTGTCTCATTAGTAGATATAGGGATGCAGCTGCTTGGGAGCGAATTCCGGGCAAAAGGGACCCGCAGTGCTTCAGTAGAATCAAACACAAGTCGGCACATATATCGGTCTCCTCGTCGAATAGCTGGTTCGGAAATTTAAAGATTAGTGCGCGCTGCGAGGCAAACAAGTTTTGCAGTGCCAAAGTTGATTGGTTTCGGGACAGGGCATGCACCAACACCTTAAGCACGGTCCCCAGGAGATTGTGGTGGAGGTTGGCAGCCACGTGAACAATAATTTCAAGGGTGTCCAGGAGCACAAGGGCTGCTTCTGTGGCCAGCGAACCCTCAATAAAGTGACTCAACTCGATTTCATGCTCACTTTTGCCCGCACTGTCCGCATACTGCGAGCGGTAGGGCATCTGGTCTTTTCGCCTGCGAAACTCCTCCGTCGAGTTGCGATCCTTCCGTCTGTTTATCAGATCGTAGCGTGCAGAGTTCGTGCCCCTTACGCATTGCTCCAGCTTCTCCTTCACGTCCGTGGACACATTTTTCCTAAAGCTTTGAGTGCTGCTGCTTAAAGAAGCTTGGAACCGTTATCGTAATCGGGCGAGTTTTCCACAACATTTGCGAAATCATCTGGCGACCACGAGCGACGCTTCTCCTTCCGTTCCAAAGAACCGCGGCGGGTCAAGGTTCCGCTCACATAGTCCGCCTTGCGCCTGAGCTGGTCAATGATTGACTTCCGATCCAAACTATTGGAGCTAGGGGCTGTACCCAATCCGCCGCCGCTGCCGGCCGCAGAGGACTCACGCTCATTTCCGCCGGCGTCCTTGCTCTCAAAGGTGTCGCCATTGAAAACGTCCGTCAAGTAGATTCCTGTCCATGCAAAGGGCATTCGGTATTTGCCCAAACGCTCGCAATAGTCGGCGGCGTTCGACTTCACCTTCTCGCGGTACTTGTCCTTGTCCTCCTTCAAGTACGGTTCGACAGAGTTGGCCATCGAGGCAAATATGGGCTCCACCTCGAGCTCAAGCCGAAGCTGGAGGCACTTAACCTGAATACGATGTCCCATGTGTTCTATGGGAATCTCGGCCAGCAGCCTGCGCTCGACGCTCTCCTCCAATTCAGACTCTGGATACAGCGAAAAGAGAGCCACTTGACGGTCCTGCTGCCGTCGCGCCTCGTTGGTTTGATCAATTTGTTGTCCAATAGATTCGGTATGAGGGGATCATTCACCGAGCGGCGGAGATCGAAGCTGGCCCACGAGCCGCGAGGCGTCAAGGATGTCCGTGCAGGAACTAACCGAAGCCAGGCTCGCTATGGACTGCCTGGAACTGGGAGTGCAGCTCTCGCTTTTGTAGGCGAATGTCTCCTCGAAGGAGGCAAAGTCCTTATCGATCTCAAACTCCTGTTGGTATGCCGACGGGCTAATGGTGCCGCGATCAATCCGCTCGCGTATATAGCAAGAGCTGGAGAGGTGCCGCTGCGCGTACTCAACTGCCTTCCAAGGGCGTGTGGAGCAAACGACGCACTCTTGGACATGTTGCGGCAAATCCGCTCTGAAATGTGGTTTCTTAGAAGCGCTTTTTAACCAAACAATGGTTTGACAACTCACAATTTTTCGCTGGGGACTATGTGGTCAACGGTCCTAATTTTCCGCGGAATGACTTTCACAGTTACGTCTCCTTGGGGAAAGTCCAGGATGTGCTTCAATGGATCCCGGTTTATGATGTTCATATGCTGCGAGAGGAATTCCTCGTAGTCGAGCGGCTCTGTCGGGGAAACCTGTGCCGCAGACAGCAATTAACCGTTTGAATAATTAACTAATTAACTCAAATTGAACTTACTGTAGAAGAGCACAGCGCCGTGTCTATGGTCTTTGACAAATGACAACTCGAGACATTTTTCCGTACATCGGCCGCCGACTGCCTGTATGTATATGTAAAAACAAACGTTGGGCGTTGCTTTGCCGAAGAATGTAAATAGCCGGTTGGTGCCAACTTACTTGGAGACCTTTTGCACAAACGAGCGCTGTGCGTTGGACATTTCGCCGTCTCGCTGTTGCCGGTCCGATTAATTAATTTTATGAATTATGGTTTACAACAAATTCCGTACAATTTTAGCAGGGAAAACAAGAATAAGTGTGACCGTGCAGCGATCGTTCGAATCGATGATTGTTCTTATAATTATCGATAGTGCTATCGATGAAACACGTTACAACATATTCGTTACGTTACGTTATAAGTTGTCTGGCAACTCTGCTAAAAAGTGGCAACGCTAACTCGGCCGGCAAAGCAGTACAATGTTTGAACAAAGCAGTTTCTGGCTGGACACGAAGCAGTTCTGCCGGCAAGTTGGCAGCCTCGCCGAGCGGCGGTTTTTTTAGCGCGCATTTTCGAAAAATCAACTAGTTTATGGGGCGGAGCGGCTGCACAACCACAAGCCGGAACTGGCCATTGCTCTGACGCCGTTCTTGGCACTAGTTGGCTTCCAGCCGGCCAAAAATATGAAGGACAACATTGACGAGTTCCAGCCGCTTAGTCAGTTGATTGGGCCGGAGGCAGTGGTCAACTTCACGAGGCTCCCAACGCTGACAGCGTCAAGCTGTGCTACGCGAAGCTGATGAAGACCGACGACGCGGACATTGCCAGGTGCATCAAGGCCTTTCCCGGCGATGTGGGCGTCTTGTCGCTGTTTTTCCTTAATCTGGTCCGTCAGAAGCCCGGTTAGGCCATCTATCTGGGCGCCAACGAGATACACGCCTACCTCGACGGTGACTGCGTGGAGTGCATGGCCTGCTCGGACAATGTCATACGTGCCGGCCTGACGCCCAAGTACAAGGATGTGGACGAGGTGCTTCTTCTCGTCTGATAGAGCGGGATCTTCAGATCGGCGTCCGGCTTCTCGGCAGCCAGCTGCCGACCATTTAACCCCCAAAGAAACTGCCGCATCTGGCCAAGTCCACCTTCTGCCGGGGGGTCGGGAGTTTTTTTGGTAGCCAGAAGCGCTACAATTGAACTGGCAGCCGGAGGAAGTGACAGAATAGGGCATTGTGGATGGCTACCAAGATCCAGAACCGGAATATGTACAATTATTTGTTTATTATTACTATCTATTATTATTGAACGGTTAAAACTTAAACATGGACTGTAATTAAGTAAACTAAGCCAAAATGCCTGGAGCATACGATCATAATTTCACCCGACACGGTCGCCGCCGCTGGCCACTCAATCCGAAGCAGCTGGTCAGGTGCAGGTGCTGCTGCAGCCGCACTTGGCAAAAACTGAGGAAGAGACAGTTGGGGCAGCGTAGGATCAGGACGGGGCTATCCGCCTTGCCCGTCACACTTTCGCATCTCGAGTTACGGGTGGGCGGCGTGGCCGTAGCATTCTCACGCTCCTTGGCGGCGGCCTCCGCCAGCTCCGACTTGATCAGATCCGCCTCCGATTTGATCTCGGCGGTGCGTCTGCGAAAGGGGTTGCGGTAACTCTTCTCCAGCTGCTCCTGCAGGTCCGTTGTGTGGAAATGTACAAAGGGAATGCCTTCCTTCGGCGGCGGCGCTGCCGTTGCTTGATAGTTGAGCCGTTTACCAACTGCCACCATTTACCGGCTGCTATCGAGTCTAGTGCAATTAAGCAAAAAACTAATTTTTTATTTTTGAGACTTTGATTAAGAAAATTAAGCCAAAATGCCGCGATTTATGATCAAGGTAGGCGTGTGACGCAACACAGAGAAGCGTAATCTGGGAAATATACCACAGCGGCTACAGCGGTGCCCTGGCCTCCGGCACGGGCATAGACAGTGGCTCGCCCACAGCCACCAGTTGTCAGCAAATTAAGAAGGTTCGCCAGCCAGCCAGGAGGCCATACCACCGCCACCACCACCGACGACGGCGTCGTCGTCCTCCGGTTCGGTGACCCTGGTGCCGGGTATGGCCAAAAGGATTGGCCAGAACCCGGGTCTGACCAGTGCCAATGTGCCACGCCCCACCCTCAACGAGGTGGATCGGCTGCCCAGGGTGCGGGGACTGACCAATCTGGGCAACACTTGCTTCTTCAATGCGGTGATGCAGTGCCTGGCCCAGACGCCCTTCCTGATGTCTGACCTTAGGGACCTGGCGGAGCCGGGAGAGGAGTAAGTACCTCCTTTTGGTGTTTCTTTTGGGAACTTGGATCCATAATCACATTCACCAACCTTTTTCCCCTGTAGATTTAGAATGGGCTGAGCTCTGGCGATGGGCAGGCGGCGCTTGAGCAGCCCAAGGATCAGGCTGAGCAGCCTGACCACCTCCAGCCCGACCACCTCAGAGCATTCGGATGCCGATGTGGAGGACAATCTGGTGGAGGACAATCTGGTGGAGGACAATCTGGTGGAGGACACGGCACCGCCAGCCGCAACGGGAGCCAAGTTTTATACGGACAGCAATGGCAACGCCCAGCCGCTGTGCGAGAAGAGCGACGATACGCCCGAGCACATGGACAAGGACTCGCTGGAGAAGGATGAGAATGGTGAGTGGTGATCTGGCCCTGAACTGAGCTTCATTCTAGATTGATTCCCTGACTCCTTGCAGACTCTGGCATAGCCACTAGTCCCGCACCGACTAGCATCAACGTGACCAGCAGCACCAGCACCATCTTCATACCGACCGGCAACAACTCCTCCTCGTCCGCCTTCGTGGCTGGAACACTTAACGGCGGAGGGTGAGGCAATGGTCACGGCGGCAGCCAGCCTGGAAGTTTCCTTTATGATAGGGTTTTTACTTCCAAGTTCCTTTCATATACCGTTCGCGCTGTTCTGTTGCTGAATTAAGTCGGTCGAGTGGTTATTTTTTTTTAATTTTTTTTATTCTTATTTTACTTTTTTTCGAATTTTTGCCCCGGGAAACGCCCCCACTTGGGGGGAAATCAGAAAGGTGCGGCAAGGGTCGGACTGACACTCGGATTGGAAGCGGGAACGTAAGCCCCTGTTCACTTTTCATATTTTGATTCAGTGTACAAATATAAAACAAATAAAATCAAATATTGTTTGTTGAAATTCAATGAAAAGCTTTTGATAATCTATATTGATTTTGTATACTTTGACACATTTCTCGAAATTTTCAATATTGGAAAAATATACTATTTAACTTTTAAACAAAAGTATTTGAGAAATTTATTCGAATTTATTTTTATTCCTTAAAGAATTTTATTCCTTAACGAAGTACATGGATGAAACTTAAAAAAGGGTTTCATAACTCACTGATCTCAATATTCATGGTAATCTGTAGCTACTTCTTCCTAGTTATTTAGTGACCCTTCTTTAAAGCGTCGAACACATCGATTTGGGGCTGCACCACAGCCAAATTTTTACGTTTGGTAAATAGCATTTTTATCGGTACATCATCCTCGCTTTCATCATCCGACGAATATATGTGTATTTTGGCATTTCGCTTCTTGGAGGGGCTCAAAGGCTTATTGACAGTGGGCATTCTTAGCAGCCTCTTTGAGTACTTCGTGGGCTGCGGCGACTTGGCTATAGTTGAGGCAACTATTGGCTGCGTGGTACTGCAAATTTTGTTCATTTGGGTCTTCAGCTGCTTTATGATGGCCTGTTTAAAATATTGTTATTATTTGTAGCTAAAAAGCCAATATATTTCCAACTTACATCCTTCTCGCGCTCGAGAGCAATCAGCTTGGTTTCCTTTTCTTTAAGGTCCTCTTGCAGGGCGAACATCTTATTCTGCAAATAAGAATATGAAATATAAATATATGTAGAATTATATAATATAATGTAAAAATAGGTGGTATTACCATTACCGTATCCATTTGCTTCTTTATTTCCTCTTCGAACTTTTCCTTAGTAGCTGCCAACTGATAGCCCATCTGCTTCTTCCCATCCTTGAGGCTGGAATTAAGCTTTCTAAGCTCATCAATTTCAGCCACAAGACTTTGCATTTTCGCTTGCTCAGCACTCGATGCTCTGTCCCTATGTTTAAGTGCAGTTTTGAGGGCAGCTATTTCGGCCTGATGGCGCTCTTTTTCGCCATCTAATTCGGTTTTTAGCCCCAGACTTTGATGGGTGGCCTTAAGTAGCTTTTCCTGCTCAGCCTGCAAGGCTTGACCTTGATCCTTCAGCTTGTTCTGCAAGCTTTTGATTGTTTCCTGCAACTCCATGATTTGAGCCTCGCACTTTTGGAGCTCTCTGCTGTGCAGGGAGGTCTGCTGGAACTTTGAATTTTCGAGATTCTCATCGTTAACCTCAACCAGCGAGGTTTGAGTGGCCTCCAGCTCTTCAATGCGATCTGCCATTTCGTTGTTTAACAACGACAGCCTTTCGAAGTCCAACGCTTGCTGGTTGAGCCCATCGCACTCCAGTGTCTTGTCTATCAATTCGGACTGGAGCTGATAATATTTATTCTGTTGACGAATAGAAATACGGGTTGAGAGTATAAATACAGCAAGTAAAACGTATAACGGGTGCAACACAGAGGATAAAATTGCAAACGCACAGAGTTATCTGGTTTAAACACAACAAATAAATAGGATGGATTTTAGTTATGGGTTCCATCTAAAAACTGGATATTAGAAACATACCTTAAAATCACCAAGTTCAGCAACTGTATTTCGCATTTTGAGCTTTTGCTCTTCCAATTCTGCCGCTTGCTTATTATTTTCATATAAGAGGTTTGCAGCAGTCGCTTCAGTTTGCTTCAACTTCTGTTGGAGGTCGCTCAAATCACTTGCCTGAAATCACATGCCAGAATACATATAGGAGAATATTTCAATTTCAAAATTCGGGTATACTGATTACCTCAGCTTTAAGACGATGAATCTCCGATTGGTTTTGGTCGAGCTGTGCCTTTTGCTGGTCAACAATAGACTTGGTCACATGAATTTGGTTCTTGTAGTTATTTTCTATAGCTGTACGCTGCTTTAGAGTGTTTATATATTTCTCGTTCCACTGCATGCCTTTCTGCATATGCATGGCCAGCCTGTTCTTCAGACTCTTGTTATTGTTTGCCATCTCATTAAGCCTGGAATGTACAGAATAAAGCGTATATGATCGATAATGTGACAGGAAAGGTTTGTCTTACCGACTCTTCAGACTCTTGTTATTGTTTGCCATTTCATTAAGCCTGGAATGTACAGAATAAAGCGTATATGATCGATAATGTGACAGGAAAGGTTTGTCTTACCGACTCCTCAGCGCAATATTTTCATAGTGTTTTTCGTCATTACTGTTTTGCAAATTGAGTAAACGCTTGTCAGTTTTTATATTGCAAGCCCTGTAGTCGTCGTAGAACTTCTGAAACTGGTTGAGCAAACCCTTTCCGGTAATCCACATTGACTGACAGGTTTCAATTTCTGCTATAGGGCCATCTTCTTCGTTCGATTCGTTTGTGAGGCGTAGTATGCCAGGGTTTTCGTTTTCCTTATTATTATTTTCCTGGTTTTGATTTGGCTTGGGGTCGGATTTGTGATAAGATTCCCCTTCCAATTGCGTTGGCTTGGGACTGTCAAGCCCCAGTTGCGTAGGCGTCATCCTCATCTTCTTCTCGTTATCCTCGAAAAAAGATTTTGGCACCGGAGTTCCGCTTCGTTTTGGAGCCCTGGCGGAAGACTCGATGGAGGTGGCGTTGATATCAGCATTTTCTTTCTTGCTGGACACATCTGGAGATCGACTAGCTTGCCGAGTCTGGAACACTTCCAGTTGGCTCAAAGTACTCTTACTGGAAAACGCCACTGGAAGTTCAGAGTGTGCAACGTCGCTAACCTTGAGATCTTTACAGTTATCCGTCATCTTGGATGTCTCAATGGGCGATCGCTTAGCTTCGCTAGTAGCCCTTACTTTTCGCGTATCCACAGCGTATGGTGGTTTTTCCTGGGACAACTCGCGACCGGGAGTCCGAGACGGTTTACGTGAAGGCACTACCGCAGGACTTTTCACGTTTTTTTGGCCTTTACGCGGCATGACGAGCGCCTTTGGAAGTTTTGGAAATGTACAGAAAACCAACAGTTACTGATAGTTTCAGTGATTTTCACAGTATTAGGCAATAAAGTGCCCGATAGGACAACAATTATATTCACCTTTTTTTCAGTTTTTCACAAATTCGACAAAACTTTGCAAGAATAAGCGGGAAAGCACGGTTAATTTTGCAAGTATGACCGCGTCGTTGCGTCTTAAAAATACCACCTGGTATACGAATTAATACCGAAAACCAGCCAAAAAACCTTTCACCTTTCTAGGAAAGTTTCTCCGTTCTTTTTAGCTGCTCAACCACAAAATTCTGAATAGCTACAGCATCCTCAGTTTACTCAACGCGATCCTTATCGGAGATCTCCAATTTTCAAAAAGTATAAGTAAAGGTAAAAAAACTAAAAACCGATTACAACATAGCTAGATTTTTAGCTGTATTACCGATTGGAAATTCCACCCCCATTTGCTACATTTGACATTGTTTTTTACGTAAAATATACATTTGACACTACGTTAGATTTCTGTTAAAATTCTGTTAACGACTAAATTTAAAAAAGCACATCTGGTAACACCGATATTCGCTGTTCTAGCAATGTCTCCTTGGATTTTGCCTTTTTGTTAGCTGTTTTTTTGGGGTAATCTAGCTGCGACATCACTGGTTCGAAAGGAAACAGATGATAAAGGAAACAACAAAAGAAAACAGAATTCGGTTGGCGGCGGTCGCGTCGCCGCTTGAGCAGTTTTTTTTCGAGATAAAAAACAAACTAAATAACAAAGTTAATTCGAAATGAACGTGATAAAACCGCTCGGCTGCGCTGTGGCTAATTCTAAAATGTATTTTTAACAGATTTCCTGGCTTGCAGCGTGTTTAAAAGTAGTTTTATGTTTTTGTGCGAGTTACAGCAGCCGCTAAAAAAGTGCAAAAAGCGGCAGGTCGAGAATAAAATTAAGAAACGGCGATAGAGAGAGAATGTGCAAAAAGGAAGCAGCCGCAAATCAACTTGTCGGTTTCTGGTATTTCTGCCTCGCTACCGCTGCCTGTGTGTGTGTCTGTGTCCGTCCGTGTTGGCGTCGCTAAAAGTGCATGTAAAAATATTAAAGAAGCTGAGCAAGCGAGCAAAAGTAAAATAGAAGTACGGCTTAAACCGAACTGGCTGGAAAAGTGTGATAAATCCGGAGACGGAGGAGTGTTGCCAGCGACATTGGCTCTGAAGCCGCGGCCTACACGGCTGCCATGCACCCGTCGACCACCACTACCAAGGGCGGAGTCACCTACAGGAATCTGGACCAGCCGCAGTACTTTGCGCCGCACTCGAGCTTCCATCTCTACCACAAGGGCAGCCCGACCAGCGGTTGGTACTCCACGCCCTCCTAGGTGCTAGACGATCAGGGCCAGGCCCACTCCTATCAGGAGCAGCATCATTTCCAGCAGCAGCAGTACCAAGATGGCAGGCAGAGCCAGGCGCCGGGCGGCGATAGATGGGACTTTGTGGGGGCGCTGGGCAAGGTGGCCAGGATGTTCTTCAGCGCCAGGAAAGGGAATCCGGGATAGAGCGAATAGGTTTGCTAGGACTGGTTGCTCCTCAGGACGAGGCACTCCCCCACTAGCAATCCATAGAGCGTTAAATGAAACATTAAATGTTGTTAAATAATTCTTAAGTCTGTAAATTAAGAAAAAACACGTAGCGCACACTGAGACACCCAATGAAATTATAAGCAAGAATACTCAAAACGCAATTAATTAAACACAAACTAACTAACAAGTAACGTGTAATGAGTAAGGCTAAAGTAAATTGAAATATAAACTAAGACTTGCATAGAGTGCCAAGGAACAGAGAACATGAAACCCAGCTATGAGGAACGGCTTGAAGCCAACCCTCTCCCCCCTCTCTCTCTTTTTATTAATTATTTAAATAAATTGTAATTTTACCGATACATAGGCACGCGCGTATATAAGATTAACTCATTACAACATATAGTATCCCTAACATACACATAAATATATTTAAAGACATTTTTACAACATATGCTTCCTCCTGTAGGTCCTAGGATTTATGTGTAATCGAGCAGCGATTCGACTCGGTTATAAGATCTCTAAGAGTTCTGCTAATGTTCGTCTAACTCCGTTTCCTCCCTATTGTATATTTAATGAATCTAATATCTAAAAACAACAACAATATACCGAAAAAAAACAAACAACAAAAAGCAAGGACCGAGCAAAAAATCTATAATTAAATTTTGTATAGAAGCAACAAGAAAGTTTCTCCCATTAAAGGCTTAAAAAAATATTGAATTTAAAAGTTGTCTACTTATTACTTAAGGAATACCTAAAGGGGCATTTCAATAGAAGATTTCATTATATTTATACCCTTGCAGGGTATTATAATTTCAGTCAGAAGTTTGCAACGCAGTGAAGGAGACGTTTCCGACCCTATAAAGTATATATATTCTTGATCAGCATCAACAGCCGAGTCGATATAGCCATGTCCGTCTGTCCGTCTGTCCGTCTGTCCGTCTGTCCGTCTGTCCACCTGTCCGTTTCTACGCAAACTAGTCCCTCAGTTTTAAAGCTATCTGAATGAAACTTTGCATATAGTCTTCTATATACTCTCACTGCTATATATGTCGGAACGGGCCGGATCGGACGACTATATCATATAGCTGCCATACAAAGGTTCGATAAATTTTTAGAAAAAAAATTATAACTTCGGTGTTTTTTAATATTTTTGCATCATTTTTGAGATATAGCCATTTTATATTATTCCAGATTTTTGGTAAAAATTTTATGAAAATCGGACGACTATATCTTATAGCTGCCATAGGACCGATCAGGAAATTAAAGGAAAAAAATGATAACTTTGTTGTTTTTCAACGTATTTTCATCTACTCTGAGATATAAGCTTTTTTTATTATTGTAAAATTATGGTATAAATTTCATAAAAATCGGACAACTATATCATATAGCTGCCATAGGAGCGATCGGTAGATGTAGAGAAAATGTAAGGCTGGGAATGTACAACTGTAACTGTCAAACTGTAAACATAATAAGTATAGGTAAAATGTAATGAAACTCTGTTTTGTCTGTGTTTTAAGCATTTAAATTTATAATATAAATATCAAAACCAATCTGCAAGGGTATACAAACTTCGGCGTGCCGAAGTTAGCTTCCTTTCTTGTTTTTATTATTATTTGAGAATTTGTATTTCAGCTGATGAATCCCTGAAATCTGCCTTGTTTAAACCTCACCTAAAGACTTTAATTAAATAAATTAGTTTTGAGATTTTATGTTTTTAATTTATTTTTTCTTTACATTCGCGTCTCAAGACGACTTTCATGGAAGTCCAGTGCTAAGGGAAAGAAACGGAAATCGAATTTAATACAAAAGTTTTCCCCGATTGACCTTTATATGTATATATACAATTCATATGTACAGAAACAGATTCTTAAGGATATATAGTAAATATATACAGAAACAAAACAGACAAAAGTTTGAAGAAAATATTTGTATATGTAGGCCAAAGTCGTAGAGAGAGGTCCTATTGAGGGAGTCAGGATCATTTAGGGTGGCATTAAAGCAAGAAAAAAACATATATAAAACTCCACGGACTGACTCGGATGTTTAACAATATTTGTAATAAGATATTATAAAAACTTGAAGCTACGAAAATTCCACGGAGGCTTCCTCCCTCCTTCTCTCGCTCTCTCTGCGATTTTGGTATAAAACTTTCTTACGATTAAAACTATGCGGCACTTTGTGTGTATTTGATGAGTCTCCCAAAGAAACCCCCTCCTAAAATACGTACAATTTGGTTCTCCTGCTTAAGAAGCAGCCTGCAGGTCCACCTTTGTACTGGAATGTGCGCGCACCACCTGGCTTTCCGTCTTGATCTGGGAGGAGTTTGCCGCGGGAGCTTGAGCCCCAGCTGGTGCTGATGCTGGTGCTTCGTGCTTGGCCTGGTGAACCTGCAGCAGGCCTTAATTAATGCTCGTGAAGCTGCACTGGTCGCACTTGTAGATGATCGAGGACAGCTCCTGCTCGGGATGGCGCTTCTGGAGGTGTATCTGCATCGAGTGAAGGGAAAGGTAAGAAACAGTTTGCGGAGAGAACTTACAGAATGCGAACCCGAAAGGCGGTGCTCTGGATGGCCTGGAAGTCACAGTGGGGACAGGAGTAGCGTTTGTGCTCCTTGTGCGTGCCGAGATGCCGCCGGAAGGCGTTGTGATCGCTCGTCTCATGGTCACAGATGTCGCAGCGGAATCGCTTTCGCTCTTGATGCGTCCGCAGGTGCAGGCGTAAGCTGCTCTTCGAGCCAAACACCCGCTGGCACTCGGAACACTCGAGCTGCTCGTTGCGCTCCTTGCACAGGTGCTCCCGCAGGGTCTTCCGCTGCTTGAAGGCCGCGCTGCAATCCTCGCAGCGATGCATCAGAACGGCGGCGTCTGTGCCGGGGGCGGAACCCCCCCGCTGCTGCTGCTGTTCCTGCTCTGCCTGCCCAGGTTTGCCCATGCCAAGCCCCTGGGTGCGATGCAGCCAGCGGTGGTTCTTCAGCTGCTTCGTGTTCTTGAAGCCCTTGCCGCACTGCTCGCACTTGTAGTTGCGCTCCTCCGAGTGGATCTTGGCGTGCGTGTTGACCATCTGCGAGTAGATGGGCGTCTTGAAGCTGCACAGCTGGCAGCAGTACAGCTCCATGTCGATCTGGTGGGTGCGCCACAGGTGCGTGTGCAGGCAGTTCCAGTTGCTAAAGTCGCTCGACTTGCACTCCGGGCAGATCATCGGCTGGCTGGAGCTGGGCAGCCCGTTGTGGCACCTTTCGTGGTACTCCAGGGTGGCGGGCGACTTAAACCGGAACATGCAGCCTTCCACCTGGCACTTGCCACCCTCGGGCACCTGGCCGGAGCCTGGCGGTGCCCTCCTTTTGAGGATGCACTGCCGCCCGAGTGCTTGGCCCCGTAGGGACGCCCGCGGACGGAGGTTCCTCCGGGCATTGGTGGCT